GAGAGCTACTGGGGACTGGGTGATGGGAAGGAAGGATGGGGGCTCCTGGTGTGGGGATGCTATTTGATTTCTTGATGTGGGTGCTGGTTATACATATTTCCTCTCTAACAATCCATAATAGTAGAAACTGATGATTTATGCATTTTTTACTCTATTTTTTTCCAATAAAAAGTTGTAAAAGTTCTTTTCAAGCAGTTTCCTCCAGCTTTTCAAATTCTAATTTGGCCAAACTTACTGAGTATCAAAATTTATTGATCATCTGAGGGAGAAGGGTAAGTGCTTTCCCATTTTGCTCTTTTTTAACTTCATGACTATGAAGCAGGAACTGTTATTGTTGTTTTTCACCCATCAGGAAATTGAGTCCCAGAGAAACTAAGTCTCCTCCTAAGTTCACATAGGTGATGGTGTGGCATTAATAATAATAATAATAATAACTAAACCAATAATTTTGTTTTAGTCATCAAAGAGAAAGCATTGAGTGGCCTTCTAAGTTTTTATACTAAACAGTTTCAGTTTGAAACTCCCAGAAAAGTCAGGTCAAAACATTGAACAAAATGAATGGGGTTGACTGAAAGCTTGCCAGAATCCTGGAGGCCTCCTCCATGCCAGGAGGTGTTGCATTTCCCTGTAGAATTTCAGGGAGAGGTCTGGAGAGTCAGAGTGGCAAGAAGGATATCTGGGGGTTTGGGGGGCAGGGCTGGTGATGCAGTATACAGAAATATTTCAATTTTGTAACACCTGGATAGCCTATGCTGTTGTGCGCCTCAGAGTATCAGCTCTGGGTGTAGTTAACTCTAAAATAAAACATAGTCTGACCCTGCATGCATGACTTGAATGAAGATAGAGGAAAAACTTTTCTCAAAAGAAGTATCTCGCTTTATGATGGGTTATCTTGACCATGATATGCAATTTGTTCAGAATGCACTGATTTTTTTCCTCACTGATTTCTGTTGACCTCCTAATTACTCAATATTTCTGAATCCTGTGCTTAGAGTAAGCAGCCATTATCTGTGCAGTTGTGCACAGAGAGACAAGGATAACTTCACCGTAAGCTATGTGTGAAAGAACCCTTCTACATGAGTGTAAGACAGAAAACAAAAGAAGGGAGAGAGAAGTGAAGCAAGTGGATCAGCTGTAACCAATATCCACGGAAGATTCTCCTGTCCCTATGGCCTATAAACCAATTATACATATTTGGGCTGCTTTATATAGATCCTTCATAACAGAATAAATTTTGAATATGAAACAAAATAGAGGTATGTAGGACTAAGTAGTGGAAGAAAACTCAGGTGTACGTTCATCCAGCTTTGTTCCCAGTTATCAATGGGCTTGCAGGGGAATCAGGAACGATATTTATTAATTTTTTTATTAAAGTAATATTGCTTTAGAACATAATAGGAGTTTCGGGTGTGCGTCTTTTTAAATCAACATTTGCATGTACGACATTAAGTTAGGAACTGTATTTGAAATCTCTGTTATCTCAAAACTCCCAGACAGCTGAGTGGTTGTAGGTTTGGAATGCTTCTAGAAAAACTGTTCTGCTCCCAGATGAAACCCACATGTAGCTACTGGTGTTCTTATATCCTCCAGCTACCAATTAAAAATTTGAATAAAACTAGCAAGAGAGTAATTAAAGGAAGAGTTCTCCAGATGAAATAGACCATCTGGCAGCTTATTCAACAATTTTCCCCTTTCTCTTTCTAAGAAAACTCTGAATTTTGTATAAGTATGTACCTGCCCTCCAATCCTGATTTCTAGGTGGCATTATCCAATAGAAATACCAAAAGCCATATATGTAATTTCAAAATTTCTAATGGGCACATTTTCAAGAAAATAAAAAGAAGGTAAAATTAATTTTACTGATATGTTTTACATAATCCAACATACCTAAAAGATTATCTCATCAATATATAACCTATTATAGAAAGTGTTAAAGTAATATATCCTTATAATCTGGTGAATCTTTTTCACTTATAGCACATGTCATTTTGGGTCAGTCACATTGCAAGTGCTCAGTAGCCACATGTGGTTAGTAGCCACCATATTCGTTACTGAAAGGCTAAGCCAACTGTATTCCCCTGACTGACAACTGTGATTGATCTAGGGCCTAAGATGGCTCAGTCAGCCTGACAGCAAAGACCTTGCCTGTGGGCAAGTTTTTTTTCCCCCTCTTTTTCTTTCTTGACAAAAGCAAGAAAAAATAAAGACCAGATTAACACTGTCAACTATCTTGATACTTCAAGGTGAACCAGTCTTTGAATGAAGGAAGCTGACATTGAATTTAGCAGAGAGGAGAATGATAAAGAACATAGTGGTCTAAGTGACATTACTGGGCTGCTGAGCAAACTTGGAATTTGCCCAGATTCTGGACTTTCCATTTAATGAGACAATATTTGTCCTAAGTGTTTTAAGCTGACTGGTGTTACTCAAAGACCAAAAAATCCTAGTTATATGTAACTGGAAACTGATATGTGGTCATTCTTTGTGGAATTGGTATATTCCTCACATCTATGGAGAGCTAAAGGAAAAGCAAACTCACATAGAGTGAGAGGGAAAAAAATAATAAACTATATGGAAAACACTTGAATTCACTGCATTAAGTATCATGTTTAAGATGTATCATAATAGCCATATTATTATTAAGGATCATCTGCAAAGCAAGTATGCTCACTTTCTGATTGAGAATCAGGCCTCTGATTTGAGAGTGAACAAAGCCTTTCGGGTAAAAACAAAAACAAACAAACAAAAAAAACCCTGTACCAGATTACAAGAATAGTTTCATTTTAAAATCAATATGAATTACAAAGTGATGAAGAGGAAGGCAAACATGTCCAGGAAAACTAAAGCCAGCATTTCTCAAAGAGATACCTTCAGAAGTGTGGTTCTATTTTAAGTTTCCTACATAGTACTAATCAAAATATACATTTCAATTAAAATTAGATTGCACTTTAGGAAGTGAATTATTAAATGACCTAGCATATTTTGATATTTCAAATGCCAACACTCCCAGCTTTGGAGGACAATGGGCCTTTAATGATAATGTATTCCCTTCTTATCCTTATTATTGCTATATAGCTGGAAGCCCTAGATACTTAGTGGGCTCCAGGGACCCAGTGTGGGCGATTTCCAAAGGAGGATACCAATTAGGCAGTTTGGTTTCACAAAGAAGCAAAGATTGCCCTGAGGTGAAAAACTGCCTCAGAGGGAAAACCCTTGAACTTTAACTGTCTTTATTGCTAATCATTAGAAGTCAGTAAAGGATTTGATCTTCCCCTCCTCATTTCATTACCTCTACCCTTCAGTCTAAAAATCCATAATTTCTCTTATTATAAAGGCAACAATAAGGACAACAAATTTACCATATACATAAAGTCAAGTGAACCCTTTCTACTTGTTTTAATAGCACTTCCACTGCTTCCAAAAGTTGCCTGAGATGACCTAAGTTTCCTAAGTATCTAAGATTTTGCCTAAGGTCCTTAATGGGTGTTTTAAGGACAGCATAATTAGCCAGGGCTCCTTAAAACTGAAGAAAAAGAAAATCCCAGTCTCCTCAAGGTTACTGTTTAATGAATAGTTGCATGTTTGACTCATCTATGGATGCAAAGATGAACAAAAATCCAATCACCACTTGATTCATGATATTATCCTTTTTTCTTCTTTCAAATACTTTGTTCAAGAAGTTTTTCAGTGTTAATTATAAGTTATATGTCAGGCACTCTATAAGAGGAACCCAGGGTCTTATTGTGAGTGACACAGTGAGGGTCTACTCTTTCCTATGTTCACAGTCTGGAGGGGGGCAGAAAGGGAGGTGGGGAGAGGCAAAGAGGATAGTGAATAAACAGATCATTAATTCCCAGGAAGGATTACCTCTGCATATCTGAGGAGGCCCTAGAGGCTTATCTTTTGTGTTGTATTTTACTCAACATTGGGGATCTATATGTTCTAATCTTCTTTGAATCTCATTTAACCACCTTTCTAGTACCTGGAATGTAATATTAGTAGCATCATGTCTCAATACAAATGGAATTACATGCTACTTGGTCAATAATTTGAAAATAAGTAAGTAAAGTAATATTAACATATAATCAAGTTTTGAAAGTCCTTAGGGAGTTATCTTTTTGAAGACCCACAGTTCACCTGTCAATTTGCCTAGCATGTCAAATTTTTCTCCAGTACTGGGACAGATGCTATTTCTCTGATTGAATATTAAGTTGTGTATAGATGATTGTATGTAGGTTTCTATGTCATAATAAAAATCCATGATTTTAAACATTAACCTTATGCTGATACTTATTTAGGAACTGGTCTAGGGATTAGCATACACGTTTTTAATCCCAGGGTCATTTAGTTGAAATGGCAGGCAGGAATTGTAACCTAATTTAATTAATTTAGTTTGTGTTGGTGGCACAGTGGTGAGGATAGCTGTCTTCCAATTTAATTAATTTGTTTCCTCCTCTTTTACCAACTCCTCCTTAAGTCTTTCATTGCCAAGACAGATAATTGAGTTTAGAGAAATTAAATGTGAAGCAATCACTCTTTGCCAATATCTTGAGGTGCAAAGCTTATTAATGACTGTTTGGGAAAAGTTAAACAAGTTGTGTCACAGAGGACATAGTACTTTCCTTCTGAGATGTCTTCTGTTATTATTTGTCATGAATATTATGTCAAGTGACTGCAATATTAAAACATTTTTATCCTCCCCGAATGTTCCCCAAATTGGACTACTCTTAGTATCTGAAAACTGCCATGTAATCCAAACCCACCATTACCCTATTGTACATTATGATGAGAACCTCCTAACTGGTTTCATAGCCTCTACCCTTACCTTCAAGAGGAAACAACCACCACCATCATCTTACCATTCCCTTGACTTCAACCATCCACGATGCATCCCCATAACATTCACAGCAAAAAGCCCAAAACCTTTTGCAGGTCTACTTTCCTGGCCTGTAGTTTCAATTCAGAGCCATTACAGTGCTATTTTGGCCTGTTAGGTTTACCTTGTTCCACTGGTCCTTGCAAATGTTCCTTGAGTGGTGGAAAAATCTTCCCCAGGTAGGTACCTCTAAGCAGGGAAGAAGTCCTTGGGAGGTAGGAAAAAAAACAATTACTGGGCCAGGTGCTTCTTGTGGTAGAATCTCCCTTGCTAGGATGTCTTTTGTTGCTGTCTCTGAGTTTGGAAGGAAATTTTCAAGCACTGCAGGGAAAGAGAGTGCTCCCTGGAGCAAGGCTACTTTTTCTGGAATGCTCATACGCAGATGCCCCAGCCAGTGGTCTCTGAGTATGTGAAATGAACCTCAAGGGATGAGAAGTTTCCTAACTAAATAATTGAATGTTTAAATTGTGCCCACCCAGCAAGGATAGAAAAGACCTGTTAAGTTTATTTCTACACATTTCCTCCCTGGACAGTATGTCCTACCTACAAATATGTCTTTTGCTGTAAAGCCTCACTGATATAATAGGAATACTTTTTGTTTCCATGGCCATGTAATTTTTGAGTTTGAATCTCATTTGAGGGTAGATAACAGAAAACAGAACAAATAATAAAGTGGTAATAATAACCTCCCCCCAAAATATAAAATTACAAATACACAAATGTTCTTAGAAAGTACGCATGAAAATGAAACTGGTTCTTCAGCTTCATTCTTTCCAACTTCAAGGGGACATACAAGAACCCACTCCCTTTTCTTTCCATTGTTAAAGGAATTTCAGACAACAGCAAACAGGAGAAACATTGGTGGTTTCCTAACATAAGCTATAATGTAAAAGATAGACAAATTAAATTGAAAGGTAAAGAGAGAGCAACATCCAAAATATTAGTTCGATTCAGCCAGCATAATACAAATTAAAGTGGTTTACCTAACTTATTAAAGTTTACTTACCATGAAGTACATCTAGTTGTACATCACTTAAAGATTGGGCTATGTTCTGGAAATGTGTCACAATTAGCTCATACTGTGAATATCACAGAATATGATAAGACTTTTGTCTTTGGGGGGCCTCCCTGGTGGCACAAGGGGTTGAGACACAATCTATGAAGCTGTTCACAGTGATTGCAGCATGAGTTTGATCCCCACCCAGTGAGCTAACCACGTGGTGCAGCAGATCTCTTCTGACTTGCCCACTGCTCCCCTCACCAGTGTATTTCAGTCAATCTGCCTGTTCTTTTCCCCACTCTGTCTCTGGTGAATCCTCTCACCTTCTGGACCTCTGGCCTGTACCCCAGCTCATGTATGCATAAATAAATAAATCTTTTTATATTAAAAAAACTTTTGTCTTTGGTCTTGATCATCCTGGTGCAGAGGATATGATTCTGTGTCTGGTCTTACTATCCATGTCATTAGAATATTCTCTATATCTGATATAGGCCCTTCTAGAATTTCTGGTGATGGCTTTGCTTTCAGTGAAGCAGATACTTTGACAGCTTCTGTCACTTTATTCTTGTTCAAGATTGTAGCTATGGTAGAATGGGACAGGTCTGCCTGGTTAGCAATAACCATCACTGATTTTCCACTTTCATAGTTCTTACTTGCTTTTCATTTTGTTTCAAGATTGATCATTCGAATTGGCTTCTTACTGGGAATATTTACTGTGGATTTTGCAAGCTTAGGGGGTGTGATGAACAAAGCAACATGAGACTAAATCAAGCACATGGGGAAATGATGTTATCAAGAGACATGGTGAATATAACATTATGAGTCTGCTGTTAGTATAAAATGCTGCAGCATTACAGTGGCTACACTGGCAATAGGCAATAGGAATTTGGTGACAACCATTGTTATACGTGCAGTGTGTTGCAGATATAGTCCGATGTTGACTGAAATGTTGCTCTGTGTTGCATAACTGGAGATTCTGCATGTCATTAGTTTGACATATTAGCTTGGCTGCCACCACAATTAACATTTGATTCTATGCTGAGTTAAGGAGTTTCTTCAGCTTCTGACATGGAAGGAACCCAAACCTTCCAATTTTTTTGTTAAAAATCAAAGGAAGCTGGAATGGAACCATAGTGATTGAGGCAAATAGCAATTTGAGGGAAAGGAGAGGCTGAGGACATTAGTGTAGTATCCACAGCCTCAATTGAGTTTCCATTCATCTCCCTCCCACACCACACTGTCTATCCAAACATTGTATGGTGCCTGGCATAATTACTTGTTTGATGTTATTCTTCCCAACTAGACTGTGAACTTCATAAAAGTAAGGGCCCCATGCAACTCCTTCCTGGTCTCTACTCAACACTTGCAATATATCTGGCACATAAAAGGGGTCAATTAATTGTGTTGTAGATTCACTTTATGAATGAATAAATTAATTGAAGAAAACTTGGCTCTCGTTAGAATCTTTCACTTGGCAGAGTGTCTCCCTATTCTTCTTTATTTCACTGATTTCTACATCAAGAACTCCCTCTGCTCCATATGCCCAAGGCTAAATGATTTCCCTTTTGGGGAAATTCCCAAAGAGAAGTTTCCTTAATCAGAACCAATATAATCTTCAAGACAGCTAGTCTGAATTCTGTCCTATCCATCACCCTCATCTTCTTTGCAATATGTGGATAATAGGTACAGAAAAGAGAAATGAAAAATATTATAATTCAGTCTCTGCTTAACATAAGCAGACATTTGTCCAAGTTACTGTAAAACATCTGATATGTTCACAGGGAAATCAGGGACTTGTGGTCTCTGAAGTTGGTACTTTTGTTTATTTGACATGTTTTCTATAGTCATGTCACTAGTAATTTTGGAGGTCCCAGGAAAAGAAGGATTTCTTCTCTTTGAGTTCAGTAATTCTGTTATCCAAAGGTCTAAGATTTGAGTCACTTGCTTCTTGATTGTTTGGCTAGAGAAGAGGTTTTGTGAAGTATCTTTTCTATATTCAGAATGTGTATGTATGCTAGAAAATCTGTGTTCAATTGTGCCAGCACTTAAGCTTTTATTTCTTTTAAAGGACCTATTCTATTGCATGTGCCTTTTAAATGTATGTCTTTTTAATGTGGGTTCAAAGAACCACTTCTCCCTTTCACTAAATTGCAGGGTTGAATGCTGTGAATTCATGGCTCATTCTATTCCCAGTGATTCTGACCCTGGACAAATTTTCTTTTCTTCAACACCCCCTGTTCTTTGTTGTCATTCCTCCATATTCTTCTGATGCCCCATTTTGTATTTCCTGCTATGGCCATTTCCAAGCAGACGTTCCATTTCTGGGAGAAGTTAGTGAGAATTAATCCCCCATAATTGTGACTATGGATGATAATAGACTCTTCTCATTTAAAATGTTGCAGCTTAGCAGGAACCTATTAAAATATTACCACTTTGCAGTTACAGCATTTTAATAACGGCATGCAATTTTTCTCAGTACTCAGCAATCTTCTGAAGGAGAAGTGACTAGAAATACTATCTTGGTTTTGTAGTTGGCAGCACTTTGAGACCCAGGGTCTAAATAATTTGTTGATGACCATATCACAATAAGTGACAAAATAGGGACTAAAACTAAACTGAGTCAAGATCTTTCCAGAACCAGGTAGCCAGCATTTGAGATGATAAAATGATAAAATTTAAGCAAAGTGTCAACTAATAGAAGGAATTTTGGGTGTAACCACTCTCCCAGTACTTTCTCAAAAGCCCTGCATTGATACTTGCAATTCTCAATGAATTCTACCAAATATTCAGAAACAAATTAGTGCCTATCCACCGCAAACTCTTTCAAAAAATTGAGAAGGAAGGGAGAATATCAAACACATTCTATGAAGCCAACATTACACTAACACCAAAACCGAAGGAGGACAACACAAAAAAGAAAACTACAGGCCAATCTCTCTAATGAACACTGATGCAAAAATCCTCAATAAAATTTTAGCTATCAGAATCCAACAATGTATCCGTATGATAATTCACCATGACCAAACAGGATTTATTGCAGGGACACAAGGATGGTTCTTCTACTTCTTTCCTTCTATGACAGAGTCTTATAGCTTCCTAAGTAGTTTCCTCTTCTGCTGTATGCATCTTGGCCTTCCGTGATAATGGAGCTTCATCTTTGTTTACTCTTTATTCCCTACCTACAACATCTCAGTACCTCCTATATTAACTACCACATTTAGGTTGATGACTTCACAAGTTAAATTTTGAACCTAGGTAAATCTCTGTTAAGTAGCATGCTGGTACATAGGATGCCTTCTAGGTGTCCAATCATGACTAAAACATTAGCTATGTTATGAACTGAATTTTTGTGTTTACCCCATCCCCTTGTGGTGTTAAAACCTTAACCCCCAACGTGATTGCATTAGGGGAATGAGCCTTAGGGAGATAATTAGGTTTAGGTGAGATCATGAAGGTAGGACCCCCTTTGGGGATTAATGCCATTGTTAGAAAGGAAGGGACACTAGATCTTTCTTTCTCTGCCATGTGAAGAAGATACCACGAGAAGGTGGTGGGCTGCAAGCTAAGATGAGGGTTGAAACCAAGAACAAATCGGCCATTAACTTGATCTTGGACTTCCCAGTCTCCAGAACTACAAGAAATAAATCTCTGTTCTTTAAGCCACTGGCCTATTGAATCTTGTTATGGTAGCCCATGTAACAAAGACAATCTATATCCCCTGCCTGCCACTCTCACCCATTGCTGTAATATGAAATTCAGACTTGGTGAAAAGGCCATATGACAATTTCATTTCCTAATAACTTCCATCCCTGAACCCAGCACCCTCACCAGCCGCGCTGATCCACTTACAGTTCTCAGAGTGTCTTGCTGTCCTAGGACCTGCTTCCTTGGTCTCTGCACTTCCTTCTTCCTGCAATGCTCTTTGCCTTTTGTCTGCAAGACAAATATCTTTATTTTTGAGATTTTTTTCTCTAGAGTCCTCTCTTCTGGGAGGTTTCTCCTGACTCTCCAGGGAATCTTTATTAAAGTGCACCCTGAACATATATCCTTACTATCTAGAGATATATATCTATGTCTATGCCTACAGACATAGGCATATGTGAATTCATGATTCATTCTATTCATGGTTCTCTCTATAGAGAGAGTGTATCCTGTCCTATTAGATCAGAACTTCTCAAAGTATCTGTCGTAAAGGAGCAAAATTTTTAAAGACTCATCATCATGAACTAATAATTTTACAAAATATAAGAAACTTCATAGAAAGATGGAATAAAAAGATAAACAATCTCAATTTTTGATCATTATATTCAGGATATTTAAAATTATTGTAAATGTACATTGTACACTTTAAAGATACACTTTCAATTTCTTACTTACCCTGCCATGTTAAACATGGTGTAGATAAGCAGTGACCCCTGGACCACGCTGTATGATTAACACTGTACTTGAAAACCTTAATGCTACATGTGTTGGAACTTTAAATATAGGTCGAATATTTACTTAATAGCAGAGATCACCTTTTATTGATTTTTATGCCAAAACAACTATTAAGGCATCTAACACACTTTCAGTACCTGGTGGTTATTCTGTGGAGGGACAGGTCAAGAGACACCAGCACCAGGCTCAGTTCTTTTGGCTAGGCATATGTCCTCCCTTTTTGTGACATTCTGGACATTGAATTCTTATTAGTCTTTTCTTAAGATCACAATGGAAATAATAAAAACCAGTTGACAGGGTAAGAAACACATGAAGCCAATATTTTCAGTTATGGTCTTTGTTGATTCAAAAAGTTAGAGCAAAAAGAGATAAGAAGAGCACACAGTGGGAAAGGCAGGCTCCTTTCACCATGGCTGAGATGCTGCCCATCGCCCTCATCCTCTGCTGTCTCTGCCACTCCACTCTCTTCCTTCTTAAATGCCTGGATCTTTGCTGCCCACAGGGCTTCCTCTGGCCTTATTCAAGCTACCTCCTTCCCCACCTCTGCTACTAACTCACCTGTCAAAGTACTACAGGCACAACATTTGGCAGACTTTGAGAGAAAAAACTAAGTGGTATTCTCTTGTAGCACCACTCAGAAAGCGAGACTTAGAACTTAGATATTCATCTTTTTAAAAAGCCTCTCTATACCTTCCACTCAGTTGGTTATCTCCAAATGTCACTGGAACCCTGAGTTTTTCATAGTTTCTTCCCCACCTCCTTTAGCTGCATTTGAGTGTTAGTCTCTCATTCATGAGGTTCGTTTCTTGTGCAAGCAGTTTTTTTCTCTCTGACTTTTGTAGTCTTTTTCCAAACTATTGGATATGTGATAGATAGATACAGGTTAATATTACAAAATGTACTGTAGCATGCTTTGCAGCCGAAATGCCTAATCTCAATAAGTGTTAGTAAAAACCAGTGTCGAAGCACTAAGGTAGACATCAGAGAGGAGCAAAGCATGCTACAGTACATTTTGTAATATTAACCTGTATCTATCTATCACATATCCAATAGTTTGGAAAAAGACTACAAAAGTCATTTTCCAAACTATTGGATATGTGATAGATCAGTTGTATGGGGGAATATAAAAATAAAATTTATTATTTAAAAAAAAAAAAAACACTATTTCTGCTTCTTTTCTTTTTTCAGAATTGTTTGTTTTTCTTCTCCTTGCTGCTTCTCCTTCCCTGCCTTGTCCTCCTCTCCCCCACCCCAACTAGATAACACAAAACTTCAGAGAAACACAAGTAAAATAAGCTATGCGTTTGAGAAAATCTGCATGCAACAGAAAAGCTTTATTCCATGCACAATAGTTGCCTGTCTCTTTACTATAGATGATTTAGGGATGATGAATCCTTAAAAACTTACTGGATGTGAGCTTATTGGTGTGATCCCATCTCTCTGAATTATAGGCAGTATTCTACATCAATGTTACCTCAATAAAAAAATGTCAAAACCAATTTTAAAAAAATGCCTTCAGCAGGTTATGTTTAGTGTTTGCAAAAAGATGATATTCTTGTTTGAAATATTAACATTATATTCTATTTTAATCTCATAATATTCATTTTTAACAATCAGATATACACCACACCAAAATACGTGACGCAAGTTCATTTAGAAGATGATGTGTTTTCAGTGTCTCTTTTATATATCTAGAAAAAATTGAGATGTAATCTATATACCTTAACACTCACACTCATAAAGTATACAATTTTATGGCTTTTGGTATATTCACAAGAGTGTGCAACAATCAACATTTTCTAATTTTCATCACCCCCCAAAAGAAACTCTATAACCATAAGAAGTGATTCCCTGCTTTGCCACTGCTAATCACTAATGTTTCTCTCCCCATGAATCATTCTTGACAATTCATATAAATATATATGGAATGATATGTTTCCTTATGCATCCAGTTTCTTTTTACTTCATGATGTCTTCATGTCATCCACATTTTAGTGTTTATCAATACCTTACTTCTATGGATGAATAATAATCTATTATATGGATACACTTAAGATTTTGTATATCCATTCATCAGTTGATCGGCACTTGAGTTTTTCCTTTTTGGTTATTATGAATATTTATGCTATGAATATTCATGTGCAAGTTTTGTGTGTGAACATATGTTTTCAATTCTCTTGGGTATATACATAGGAGTGGAATTGCTAGGAAACTATATTTAACCTTTTGAGGATCTGCCAAACTGTCTTAAAAGCAGCTGTACTGTTTTGCATTCTCATCAATGTCATATAAAAATTGCACAGGGCAGAGTTAAATAGTCAAGGAAGACTTTCTACAAGACTATTATAGCAGGAGAGAGACATTGAACTCAGCTCCAAATAGGGCAGGTTAAATAGTCAAGGAAGACTTTCTACAAGACTATTATAGCAGGAGAAAGACATTGAACTCAGCTCCAAATACAACAGGGGCAGCTGAAGACATAACCAACTGGCAGAGTGAGGGAGTCAGCAGCTGGAAATTTTAGTTAGGGATAAAGTTGGGTGATTCTTGCTAAACTGGATCAGTAGTCTAAGGCTGACAGGCCAAGGATGACATCTATTGGGGATGAGGGCTCAGAGGAGCATGATTAAAGTTGATCAGGAAGGGAATGTTTGTCACCAGCAATATATGGGTGATTGAATTTCTCCATTAACACTTGTTATTTTCCATCTTTTTTATTATAACTGCCCTAGTGGGTATGAAGTAGTATCATCTCATTGAGACTTTGGTTTTCATTTCTCTAATGAATAATGATTTGAATATCTTTTCATGTGCTTGTTGACCACTTGTATAGTCAAATTCTCCACTATTAAACTGGATAATATGCTTTTTAAATTTTTGAGTCACAAGAATTCTTTATATATAATGGAAAATAGATCCTTATCAGATACATAATTTGGATTTTCTTTTCATATTCTTTTTTTTTCATGCTTAGAAAATGTGTTTATTAAAGGAGAAAGTAAAGATTTTGACGACAAATCTTTTCCCTAAACTTTAAGACTGAGTTCGTTTTTATACAAGTAGCAACAAAATAGCTATTGAAAATTTTCAAAAGAAAACTGATTTCAAAAGAAAGATGTAACCATTTCTGAACAAAGATCCAATCTTGATAAATTTGAGAACGTATACTTATTCAGGCAGTAATTTTTTTTCCCTCCACTGAATATCCAGTTCCTATTTAGAGGAATGCATTTTGGACATAAGAATAAGTTAACATTCATTGAATGAATGAATTAAGGAAGGAAGGAGATTCACTACATAAAAGTTCATTTCTTGGGATAAAATGTTAAAGTGTATTTAACACATTGAGTTGAATTAGGAAGCAAAATGAAGAGGAATTATTCATCATAAATTTAAGTTCCTCCTATTACCTATGTTTTCTTTTTTTAATTTAAATTTTATTTTTATATTCCCCATACAATTACGACCCCCTTATTTTGACCCCAATCTCTCCTTTCCTTGCCCCTCACCCCCCATAGAGTGTCTCTGGTTCATAGTTGTTTGTTGATTTTGATATTTTCTTTCTTATAGTTATTCTTTTTCCTGGTCCCTTATTTAAGTTTTCTAGATTCCTGCTATGAGTGAGACCATCCGGTATTTTTCTTTTTCTTTCTGGCTTATTTCGCTGAGCATGATCCCTTCCAGCTCCATCCATGTTGCTGCAAATTGCATGTATTTATCTTTTTTGAATGCTGAGTAATATTCCATGGTGTATATGTACCACATCTTCTTGATCCAGTCATCTATTTTTGGGCATTTGGGCTGTTTCCAAAGCTTAGCTATTGTAAACAGTGCTGCTATAAACATAGGGGTGCAGGTGCTCTTTGGAATGGATGTTTCTGTGTCCTTTGGGTAAATACCTAGGAGTGGAATTGCTGGATCATATGGAAACTCTATGTTTAGTAGGTCAAGAAATCTCCACACAGCTCTTGAATGAAGCTTGACTACTACCTAACACCATGCACAAAAACCAACTCAAAATGGATTAAAGAACTAAACATAAGACCTGAAACCATAAAATACATAGAAGGAAATATAGGTGAAACACTACATGATATGCACACCAAAGACATCTTTACAGACACATCATCCAAAGCAGTGATAGTAAAGGCAAAGATAAACAGCTGGGTCTTTTCATATTCTTGACAGTGTCCTATGAAGCACAAAAGTGAGTAGTTTAATGAAGTCTGCTTTATTTTTTCTTTGGTATCCTCATTTCATTTTAAACATTATTTTTATACAATTAACACAAAATAATAGGAGTAATAATTTCAGATGTTAATATGCATTAAAATCACCTGAAAGTTTGTGAAAAACACTGATTCCCTCATCTTGTTCTAAGGCACACTGCTCTGTAGGTATGGATCTAGACTTACTAATCTGAATTTTTCATAAGTTCAGGAGATTCTCATATACAAGGTCTAGAGACCAGATTGTGGTCAAAACACACTGTCTTC